AATCTCTAAGATCTTGTTTGTATAAATATTGCCATACAATATATACAAAACGCAGTGAATCCCTAAGATCTTCTTTGTGTAAATATTACCGTACAATATATATATATATATATTGTACGGTAATATTTACACAAAGAAGATCTTAGGGATTCACTGCGTTTTGTATATATTGTATATATATATATATATATATCACAGTTAAATCCTATGATACTGACTTGTATAAAAATATACTACAATACAAACTTATAGCAGCGAAATCCTGAGACATTAATTATGTAAATTTTTCTCTACAATGCACACAAATCCTACTGAAGTTCAAAGATTCTGATGGTATAAATATGCCATACATTCCACACACATCAAGTGAAGTCCTACATTTTTAGTTGTATGAATACTACCTGTTCTTCTTTTTTGATATCCGGACAGTGACGCACCGAATTTCTAAACATCAAACTGAGGCGAGGTACAACAGACGTCTGTTCAGCTACGAACTGAAACTATTATTGTGAACTCACTCACAGATACCTTCAGGTCGCTACATTCCTCCTCTAACGCAAGAATCCCACTGAACACAACCGTATGAATCCGTTTAGAAATCAGAGCAGAGGAAGGACTGAAGTGTGCGCTTGCAACTTCAGTGTTCTCTATAGGCCAACTAGTTACATTAAGACGAACATTAAGGAAGGACTGGAGATAGAGGAACTGACTTGGAATTGTATTCAATGGTTGACATTGGTATTGACAACAATAAGCACATGGATTCCAGGGATACTGTTATATACAGGGCGTTCAATCAAGTAGGAAACTTCGCAACACCGTTGACCGGGCCCAATATTCCGCACAGATTGCTGCTGTAACTGTAACGGCGAGCGTTTATCAGCGCTAATGACTCATTCTGCTATCAGCAGTTACAGCAGCAATCTGTGAGGAATATTGGGCCCGGTCAACGGTGTTGCGAAGTTTCCTCCTTAATTGAACGCACTGTATTAACACATTAAGGCATATACGTAACTACAGCAGGCCTATACATGCTCATCGTTAAAAAGCTATGCAATTTATATAAGGAATATATGTTTCTCATATGATTCTCGTAGTAATCAGCGAGTACATTCCTAAATTTCAGTCTTCAAAGGAAGAACCAAAAATAAAACTTATGTATGAGCCTCAGGAAGAAAAACTATGCACTTGTTGTTCAAAGTTCGATTCTATATCGCTATTACTTGTTATAGCCATACACTTCTAAAGTGGAGACCGGTTGTAGTGCCGGCAATTCTAATCCTTGAGCATAAAACTCTAAATGATATTTTTTTTAAATTATTTATAATTTATTTAGCGACGCTGTCAGTATTTCAGACTATATAGCGTTGAACATTAGGATATTATTTTCTTTATTGCTAGTGGGGTGGGACTAAGTCCCTTGCACTGCGGCCACTTCTGGCCTATTGTACCAGCCCCAGATGATAGGTGAAGGTGATTGTGGAGCAATTAGTCGAATGAAGATTGGCAGGGGAAACCGAAGTACTCGGAGAAAACCTGCCTCAGCGCCACTTTGTCCACCACAGATCCCACTTGCCCAGAGCCGGGATCGAACCCGAGCCGCCGCGGTGGGAAGCCAGCGACTAACCGCTTGAGCTATGGCGCGGCCTAACGTCAGGATAAGTGGAGTATATATAATGGGAAATATTACAGAATGAAAAAGACAGCCTCTCTGATCTAGTGATCAGAGTTCCTGCCTACAGATACAGAGCTCCCTGGTTCGATTCCCGGCGCTACCAGATTTTCTCAGAAGTAGTACAGACAATGTTCAGGGCCAGGGTCTTCTTGTTATTCATCTTCAATTGTCTATGACTCTACAGTCTTTGTGGACCTTGGTCGCTTTATCGGTTTCTTAATTTATACACAGTCTCCCTTTGGACTGAGGATCAGCCCGTCACAAGGCCACTACCTACACAGAGAACAACACAAACACAGAATGAACGCACAACGACATCCATGCCTCGACTGAGATTCGAACCCATGATACTAGCGTTCAGCGGGTCAAGACGGTTCATACCTTAGACCAGTGAGATCGACTGATCTTCAACTATCATGGATTACTTTATACGGTCGGTTCAAACTCATAATTAACTTTTGAAAACGAGAGACTTTTAGGCAGGGGATCGGCTAGTCACAAGACCTATACCTACACATCGCAAAGCCTGAAACAGTGGAAAAATATTTATTATCTGATAGGGATTCGAACCAGTGTCTCCAGTGCTTGAGGGGTCCAAGATAATAATGAGACTATTTTCTCAGTCCATAAAGATGCTATACACTTTAGTCACTTGAATGTATGTATAAGGGGTGGTCCTTCTTGGCCCTTGCACCGAGAAGACAGTGATCTATTGTGCCTTAGTTTAGTCACTTAGTGGTCGTGAACCACAGCGGACAAAATTTTATTAGAGCGCACTTCTGAAGAGTCTTCTCAGTTTAGCAATGCCAGTGAGAGCAGAAAATTCACAAAATTTTAAACAAAATACATCGTCTGTAGGTATCAAAATCTTCTACGAAATATATCCCATATGCACAGCCTATTGTGCTGTCGCTTCCACATGAAACATATTCGACCCGGTATGACAAAGAAACGAAACACTTTATAATATTTTCTCATCTGCAAATGCCACATTGCGCATGTCACAGCCAAATATTTTGCGCTACAAATGCCAGATATTTCCTATATAGTGTTACACACTACAAATGCCCGACTGTGCTACAAAACCAGGTATTTACAGTACATCTCCTAGATATTTTGTTCTATTTTGCGGTATAAACGCCTGATATCTTACACTACAAGGACCAGATATTGTGTGCTATAAATGTCAGATATTACTTACTTACTTACTCATGGAGCTGAGCCCATCTTGAGTAGTCGCCAATTCTGCAGCTACTCAAGAATAAGCCAGCATTTTAAGGAACCCGAAGGTTCATTACCGTGTTCACAAGAATCTCCACTGCTCCCTATCCTGAGCCAGATCAAACCAATCTATCCCATCCCGTCCTATCAATCTAAGGTCCATTTTAATATTTTCTACCCACCTACGTCTTGGTCTTCCCAGTGGTCTCTTTCCTTCTGACTTTCCTACCAATACCGTATATGCATTCCCCTTCTCCCCCATTCGTGCTACATCCCCTGCCCACCTCATCCTCCTTGACTTGATCATTCTAATTATACTTGGAGAAGAGTACAAGTTATGAAGCTCCTCATTATGCAGTTTTCTCCAACCTCCTGTCACTTCATCTCTCTTCGGTCCAAATATTCTCCTCAACACCCTGTTCTCAAACACCCTGTCTAGGTTCTTTGCTTAATGTCAGAGACCAAGTTTCACACCCATACAGAACTACAGGCAAACGTGTACTTCTGAGGTTATATACTCGTAATATAAACAAAAAATGTATTATTGTTAAATTACAGTTTTCATTAGTCTCTTTACAAAAAGCGTATTTACAAAGAAGTTGGCTTGGTGAACATTCGTTTCTTTATTATGCTTATTATGCTTATTTACAATCTACATCATTTTAGAGTATTAAGTAAATGTGTTGTAGGTGGTTGGCTTGCGAGGGAAACATCCAGTGATGGACACTCATTATTATATTCGGGAAATAACAGTACAAATGAAATTGACAAACGGATTACTGCGGTAACATTTAAGGGAGGGGAAAATTTTGGCAAGATGATGTCAGATCTGGCAGGGAACAAATATGCAAACCGTAAGCTGCTGCTCTTGCTCTCTGCTTCTAACGTTGCAGCTTACAGAACTACTGGACGAAATTACAAAATTCTTTTACTAACTTCAGTGTCTGGCAGAACTTGCGAGAGTTCGAAATATGAACTACTGACTTCAGAAACGGGACAGACCACTGTAATGGTGCGACATGAGTAAACTCCCGGCGACTGAAGAAATTGTCATGTTGGTAGCCCTGTTACACCGTGCTGCTGTCGGCGAGGGTAGAGAGAAAGTGGTGGGGTGATGGTCCAGCAAAAGGAGAGGGGTGTTTGGGAGGGGCGGACATCTTGAACGGCGCATGTAGATGTACTATCCGGCCCGCACAAGTGGGGCGGCGACACTGACCTGCTCAACGTCGAACTCGCGACCTTCTAGAGGGGGAAAGTGATTACCCAAAAAGGGTAGACCGCTTGTCACTTCCCGCCGTTACGGTTCGCCTCATTCAGACCATTCTGCTGCAAGACTAACGGTGACGTATGTATTCATTAATTTAAACTGGATAAGGTCTATGTTGAGGTGGCGGAGTGGGGTACGCGATGGCTATGGGTCGACCGGGTGTATCCAAAATGTAGTTACTCAATACATGATTGACTCCTGGAGCAACTATAAGATTCTGAGGGGCTTACCGAATACCGCACTGGGGTGGGTAGCATTCGTGTTTCGTAATCGTGAGGTGCCCGGTTCGAATCACAACCCGGACTCAGATATCGTGGTACTTTCCATGGCAGGCATAATAATTCAAGCCACGTGTCTTTCCTACCTACATTCTTTCAAAACTATTTTTCACTGACATCCAATTATTTGATGGTGTCTAGTCTGGGCAATTGACAGCGCCGTTAAAGAAACCATGAATCAAGTAAACAAAAAAGACACTGAGTTGGAGGGGTAAGAAAATCCTTAACTTGCGTGGAATATGAATCAAGCTCGGTAACCGAACCGGAGACTTCAAGGTCAAGGCGACTGGAAAAATAAACTGTGTACGTAAAATCCTTAGCTTCTTCCTGTTTCTAGGATACTGTAGAAAACGGCATCTCCTAAGATGTCACAAAGAGATTTTCTGGTCATCCAAGTTTTTGGTGGATTTCGCGTCAGTAGAAGGGGGGGAGGAGGAGGAACCGTGAGGCGCCATCCTGGCCCTCTCCAGTTTGGCAGGAGCGTTGGGTGGGGGAAGAGGGATAGGATCTGCGGAGGGGAAGGCCAGATCTTTGGTGATGACTGGTTGGCTGGCGAGGAACGAAAGAGGACGCTTTTGGTTGGCGAAGTAACTGCTGTTGTACAGTGGGGGTTCTTGTGAGCCTGGTCCGAAATAAAGCTGCCCGGACATTAGTGAGTGAGCAGTGGACACGTGTTGTGTGTGTGTGTGTGTGTTTGGTGAGACAATGGACGTGTTGTGATTGTCAGGGACATCCGAAGCGACAGGCCAAACTAACGTAAGTACAGTGATCTAGTGAGCGTTAAACAGTGTGGCTATGGTTGAAGAGGTCGAAGTGGTTTTCGTCAGGACGACAGAAAAATGTGATCTGGTCTAATTGGAGGGTATGGAAGCTTGCAGCACGTACATCTTTTGCGACGTAGGTTTCACGGTCTTTCTCACGGTGGAGGAGTAACAGGTGAGTGTCACCCGACAGATTGGTCTTGCGGTCAGATTACCGATTACGCTTAGGGTTTTCATGTTTCCTTGTCTCTGTATGTAAACATCCATATTATTTTATTTCTTTATTGCTAGTAGGGTGGGACCAAGTCCCTTGTATTGCGGCCACTTCTGGCCTATTCTACCAGCCCCAGATGATACGTGAGGTTGATTGTGGAGCAATTGGTGGAATGAAGATTGGCAGGGGAAACCGAAGTACTCGGAGAAAACCTGCCCCAGCGCCACTTTGTCCACCACAAATCCCACTTGACCAGACCCGGGTGGGAAGCCAGCGACTAACCGCTTGAGGTATGGCGCGACCCCAAACGTTTATAGTACGTTTAAATAAGACACGAGCTCTCGTTTCCAAATTTTAGATTTACATTAATGATCTGTTGCATGCAATGCTATGTAGCACCGTAACTGAAACCGCAATTAAATAAGGATCCACTTTCTTTAAATTCGTCGCCTTATAACATTAGTGTCCATGCGTTAGTGTGGCCTAAGACAACCCGGGGCACGGAACTATAAAGAAAAGTGCCGGTATGACCATTTCTGGGTTCGAATCAAGGGCGAGATAATTGCTTTTAGCCCATAAATTCTTAACAGGAGTGACTAAAAGATTAACCTTATGGAATATGACTCCGTGTAGTCGGGTTATCTGCATTTAAGAGGAACCTGCAACCTTTCGAGTAGAAGAATAGATTGTGATGAAAACAGGATACAGTTTGTTTACAGTTGGTAAATATATACCAGAAACACGGCGTCACAGTCAGGAAGACAATAATCTTCATGTAGATTCTAAAGGGTTCTGACGATGGTGGATGACAGAATTACAGGGGTTTTGGACTTTTTCCATCGTCCTGAATTTAAGGTAATAAAGGACACGACGTTTCGGAAACTGAGTCTGTTTCCGTCTTCAGGTGAGAAAGGAAGACACCTACTCAGTTGGGCCGCTTAGAAAGAGCTAATCTCAATCACTGGTCCAGTGATCTGTTTCCGAAACGTCGTGTCCTTTATTACCTAAAATTCCGGGCGATGGAAATAGTCCAGAACCCCAGTAATTCTGAGTAATCTTGTTTTTGCGTCTACTCAGTTAAGAGCATAACAAGCATTATCGTCTACCCTTTCAATAACATTAGACAGGAAGTCCCGGAACAAACTACTAAGCCGTAGCCCTAACAAAAAGCAAAGTGACCGCGGTAGCTAACGATCAGTTTGGTGGTGGACTGACTGAGAAATTTATTATTACTTCGAGGTAACAGTTTCGTAGAAGTGAATACTCGGGCAGAACTTTAGAATAGGCCACGGCTAATTCGCTCGGTGTTACATAGATTCTGAGGCGGCCGGGTTCTTCTCAGGCACTTCGGCAACAATGAATATGGGAATGGAGGTCGGATTTGCAGCACTCAGTCCACTGTTGCAGGTTCTCACCCTTGCGCCTCATCGGTTATTTTTATGAAAAAATTCCTAACCCCTCTCCTCCATACTAAAGACAAAGCTTCTATTTTACTAAGAAGTATTTTTAGAGAACATTTTAGAATTACATTAATCATTAAGAACTAAAAAAGACGAACAGAGTTCTATGTGTCGTGGTTATGTAGGTAGAAAAATATGATCATAATGTAGAATTAATCAGAAGTTCGTGCTTACAATTCAGGAAAGTTCTTGTGTAAGGTAAAGTTGCTCCCGTGCTTAACTAAGCACTACGCCATGAAGGCGTACGGGGGGAGGGGATATATAGATACACATTTTCTTGACCTCGGCTTTAACTGGTGGTGAGTGGTCAGCTTCACACCCCGAAGATAAAGATATTCAAGTGCTAAATGAAGCACCACGTCACGAAGGGGTGCGGAGAAGCCTGTAGCTCCTCTTAACCCTCGGCACTAGGCGAGTGGTCAACGTAATGGCCCGAGTGCTTTACTCCCGTGGAAAGAGTGCTCGGTACTCACGGGACAGGAGGTTATGTGGGCCCCAGAACCGGCATCAACTCTGTGGAGAAGAAGAAAAACAATCCATCCCTTGCCGAGAATCGAACCTATGCTTCGGCCCTGCAGCTCCTGTACTGTTGCTGTGCTGACTGAAATATCGCGGCTCGAAATTCTTCCGTAGCTGAATTGTGACTTTATGAGACCTTACGGCTCAGCCTACTGCTTCTCACAGGCTGAGGAAATTGCTACAGATGACTCATTTGACGGATAATTAAAAAAAATAGTTAGGCCGAACTACATTTTGTTTGTAGCGCATATATGAGGGGAACATGTATCGTAAAGATCCAAGATGGAAGAGTGTTGACTGGATTCATTTGGCTTACAGTATGGACCAGTGGCAGGATCTTAAGAATCTTGAAACTTAAATTCGGGTTCTATAAAATACAGGGGAATTGCTTCACTAGGTAAATATCTTATGAAGGACTGCTTGATGATATTATGGATCAGAAAATTTGGGGAAGAAAATGGCAGTAGGTAAGGATATTCTGGTATGTGGAGTCATGTGCGGCAATGGATAGATACCAACGTTCCAGATAAACCCGCCGGTTTCGTCTTCCGGGGAACAGCCATTCTTCTAACCGGAAGTGACACCTATATGCGGAACAGTGCGGTTTCTCGAGGACTGACCCGTGGAGTTGGAAACATTACATAAATAGAAATATTAACTGGCATGATTGTTTATCCCTTCTCGTCCAATATTCCTTGTAAAAAATGTTTTCTTTTCAGTTTTGAAAACTGTTGTGTTTTCTTCTAAAAAAAACAGAAGTACTATTTCTCGCTAAATATTATTGCTGTCCTCAGTATTACAATTTTTTTCTTTGGCGCTATAGCCCAATTTGGGCCTTGCCCTACCTCCATGAAACTCCGTTTCACTTCGGTTTACTAGATCTTACACATTCGGTAGGTCTCCTTGGGCGGGTGATCAGCTCATCGCAAGGCCTCTACCTGTGCACAAACACAGAAAACACGCACACACAAATTCTAAACATCCATGCTCTGAGTTGGATTCGAACCACGATCCCGGCTTCCGAGCGAGTGAAGACAGTACATGCCTTAGACCGCTCGGCTACCGTGACCAGCGATTACGATATATAACAGCCAAAATTTCAGGTTTACTGGTATAATTAAAAAGAAACAGAATCCGAACACATCCAAGAGCCCAACCTATTTGCAGACCGCTTTAACGTCCGTGGCCATGGCACTTTTTTTTAATGGTGTCCAGCTGGGTCCACTCGGAACGGCGGAAACTGATTGGCCTATTGTACCTGCCTTGGGTGATTATGACAGAGAATTTGGTGGAATGAAGATTGGCAGGGGAAACCGAAGTACTCGGAGAAAACCTGCCCCAGCGCCACTTAGTCCACCACAAATCCCACTTGACCAGACCCGGGATCGAACCCGGGCCGACGCGGTGGGAAGCCAACTATGGCGCGCCCTTCGGCTGGGGCACATACTGGAATGACAGCGGGATAAATACAATGCTCTCTATTAGGTCCGTGATACGAGAGGTTATATTTTAGTTTATATCTGATTAGATATAACAATAAATTTGTATGGCCCTGATGTTTTTTCTGGCTTCCATTCAAAAGTATACTTGGTATTCGAGGGTTTTCTCAGCCCTCCAAAAGGCGGGAAATTTGAAACAAGTGAAGCATTTCGGCGTTCACAAACCTTAAAACAGGACCTATGTAGTGGATACGACGCCGTCATATGACTTTAAATGTCTAGTGATGAGTGTTATCTCCGACAGAGAAAACTATCGTCTCTGTTCAAGAGCATTTGTTATGAAAACCATGGAAATGTAATCTTCAAATCAGAACCAGCACGAGAAAGGATTAAAATAACTGAATGTAGTAAGTTTCAGAAGCTGATAGTGGCGCATCTGTCATATCCCTAGCCTGATCCATATGAATCTGAACAACACCCAGTTTGCTACTTTAAGATCAATTTCAGCAGTATCCTACCATCTGGGCCGCTGGCTTCCCACCGCGGCGGCCCGGGTTCGATCCCAGGTCTAGTCAAGTGGGATTTGTGGTGGACTAAGTGGCGCTGGGGCAGATTTTCTCCGACTACTTCGGTTTCCCCTGCCAATCTTCATTCCACCAATTGCTCCACAATCACCCTCACCTATCATCTGGGGCTGGTACAATAGGCCAGAAGTGGCCGCAGTACAAGGGACTTAGTCCCACACCACTAGCAATAAAAAAAAATTCTACCATCTACTCCTGGATCTTCCAAGATGGCTATTTCCTTAGGTACCTCTACCAAAATTTTGAACACATTTATGATCTCCCATGCATGCCACATTCTCCGCCCACACCGTTCATTTTATCATCCTGCCATGTTCGTGGAAGAAGCAGGAATATTTCTATGTATACTTGAGCTTTGGAGAAGCCGGGGTTATGTAGTTGGTATAGCGACTGTACAGGCTGGACGACTGCCGGGTCTGAGTTCCGAGTCCCGGTAGGGTCAAAAAAATCTCTTCACATCGTCCAGACCGGTGACTCCCCGCGGGGTAAAGCGGCAGGGGTATGAAGCTGACCACTCACCTCCTAGTGCTGAGGTCAGGAAAATGTGGATCTATACATCCACTCCCCATACGCCTTCATGGCGTAGTGCTTAATTAGTTAAGAACAGGGACAACTTTACTTTTTACCTTTTTAGGAGAATATTTCTTTAAAATCAATTTCAGCCCAAATGGATATATTTGTTGAGAACAGTTGTAGTTTTGATGTTCTCGTCTGCTCATGGAGTGCGCGTCAAATGTATACAAGCCGCTAGGAGGCGCGCTCGCCTGACAAGTCACGACCATACCATTCTTGACGTTCTTGGCCATGAAGCGCAGCAGGAAGGGATTGTTATGAGCGCGCATCTTTTTGGCGCGTTCAATTTGATGATCGGGACGAATTCTAATTTTACGAACGTAATTTTGGATCTTGTATGTTGTGTTATGAATAGATAAAAAACTCGGTGGTTTTAGTCCACAAGCAAGCTATACCGACCGAGCGACCGCCGCTTGTCGGCGAAGTTAGTTCCAACTTTAGCGGATAGAGAGTATCGCGTGGTCAGCGCAACGAATCCCCACGGCTGTTAATCTCGGCTTTCTAGACCGAAGCCGCTGTTTCCTTGAAATGGTTCCCCAGTTATCCTCACGAGGCTGAGGGGACCCCGTTCCAGGCCCACTACCTCTCAGAGGAATCTGATAGCGCCGGGAATCGAACCCAGACTTCTGGATCTGCAGCCAGGAACTCTGAACACTAGACTACAGAGGCGGTCCATTGTAGACGTGAATAGAAATTTAAAATAAAAACGTTGCAGATATTAACCCGTTAACTACCAATGGTAATCATATGAGCCACTCGGTTTAAAGTAAAAGGACTTACGCCTTACGTCTGAAGAAAACACTTAATTTGATTCTCAGAAAACAAATAATTTTCTTGAATATCACGGCCTAGCTTCAAAACAGATACTCCTAATTACTTTTAATTTCGTGGGGTGGAGTGCGACATGGTACGTCGGCCCCAAATTGGCTCTTTCTACCAAACCCGAATGATAGTTGACTATGGAGCATTCGGCGGAATTGAAATTGGCAGGGGATACTGAAGTACTCTGAGAAAGTCTGCCCCAGGTCTACTTCGTCCACCACAAATCCCACCTGGAATCGAGCAGGCGGCCGCCGCGATGGGAATCCGGATAAATGAGGTCTATGTAGCTTTTATGTGTGGGGTAAATAACCATACTTTTATATTAATATTACTATCGCGTCTGTGCAGACAGTCTTCAATGCAGCGCCACAAATGATGTTTGTTTTAGGAAATTAGATTCTCACAGCTATGGTTAAGGATTCTATCCTGAGATATAACGCCGTGTAATCTCTTGAAATTGATGGCCAAAGAAATTGTCTCTGGATGAATTCTATGCATATAACAGAAATATTAATGATTCCTGCGATTATCTGTCTGTGAGAAACATCTTTTTGTCTTTCACCGTGTTTTTCTGCAGTGCGCCATCAGGTATGAACGGGATGGTACTTACAGAGGGACTGACGTTTTGACTATCCAACATAGGTGGGTGGATTCATGTCAGTTTCGCCCCCTGATGGATTAACGAGGCATATTCTGGCATGTACCACTTAAAAGACAAGCCATTTAACAGACTATCATTAAAGTTGTATTATTTGACGAAAGTGAAATAATAGTAGATAATTTAATCTAAACCGGTCACGGTAGCCGAGCGGTCTAAGGCATACACTGTCTTCGATCGCTCGGAAGCCGAGATCGTGGGTTCGAATCCCATTCAGGGCATGAATGTTGGTGTGCGTTTTTCTGTGTTTGTCTGCAGGCAGAGAGGCCTTGCGACGAGCTGATCACTCGCCCAAGGAGTCCTACCGCATGTGTAAGATCTAGGAAAACCGAAGTGAACGGAGTTCATGGAGGTAGGCCTAGGCCCACTGGGACTGTAGTGCAAAAGGGGGGAAAAAATTAATCAAAATCTGCTACAGTAATTTCGTAGACGAAACCGCGCAGATGAAGTCCCTATTGCTTACTAGGATTTTCATATCTGAGTAGCGATAATTGTGTGCTGCGTAAGGGTACAGAGTATAATTGCTGTTTACTGTGAGTCATGCAACAACAAACAACAAATGATAAGGAAGCAGTGCTGATCACGGTACACTTTCCTGCTGCATTCTAGAAAATTGTGTGAGGTTCAGGTCACCAGAGGAAGTGGCAAAGCATTTCCACGGCCCTCTTCTATTGCGATCCGCACACTAAGATTGGCTGAATATGTAGATGCAAAGCTATGTTTTCTATATTGGCCGCGCCATAGCTCAAGCGGTTAGTCGCTGGCTTCCCACCGCGGTGGCCCGGGTTCGAACCCGTTCTGATCAAGTTAGATTTATGGCGGAAAAAGTGCCGCTGGGGCGGGTTTTCTCTGAGTACTTCGGTTTCCCCCGCCAATCTTCATTCCACCGAATTCTCCATCATCATAATCATCCGGGGCAGGCTACAATAGGCCAATCAGTGGGTTCGGTGCCGAGTGGACCCAGTTGGACTGCAACCCCCACTAAGCGAATTAAAAAAAAAGTATTCTAATCCCGGCAAGTGCCAAGCGTCGAGTCTTTCGACTCTTAATTATAATGCTGTGTTTAACAGCATGACATTTTTGGGGGATCTGAACTATCATGAAATATCGAGTGCATTTACATTTGAAGCTGCCTGGAAGTTTTTATACACATTTTCCTATTCGTACAGCTCTGAAATATGTGGCATATTGGGTTTCTAAAGGTAAAGTCCCTGTACTTAACCAATTAGGCATAACACATGAAAGTGTATGGTTGAGTGGATCTATAGATCCACGTTTTCTTGACCTAGGCACTAGTTGGAGGTGAGTGGTCAGCTTCACGCCCGGGGAAGGAGCCCCCGGTACCCATTGGATAGGAGGCTGAGTGGGCCCCAGACCCGGTCTGGACTATATGGAGAGGTGAAAATTCTTGCTCCCACCGGGACTCGAACTTCGACCCCTTTCTCCTCCAGCCTGTAACCAGTCTATACCGATTGCGCTATCCCGGCTCCTATATTGGCTCTGTAGGAATTAAAATTGTTTCGCAGAAGACAGCAGCAATCTTCAGATCAGAAATTGATTTGACCAGTAGGTCCAGCTTTGGGGAAATTCTCTTTCATATTCTTTTCTAGTTTCTCAGTTGGATTGGATTATACTGCTCTCAAATTCTTATACATGCAGTGCCGCTTCTCTTGGTGCAAATTTGGTGTTACTAATTTGACCATGAATTAGATAGGGACATGAATTCTGGCTCTCATTCCCCATACCAGCCCCAGATGATAGGTGAGGGTGATTGTGGAGCAATTGGTGGAACGAAGATTGGCAGGGGAAACCGAAGTACTCGGAGAAAACCTGCCCCAGCGCCACTTTGTCCACCATAAATCCCACTTGACCAGACCCCGGGATCGAAATCGGGCCGCCGCTGTGGGAAGCCAGCGACTAACCGCTTCAGCTATGACGCGGCCCTCCTGGCATGCTTAGGGTATAGCATTCGGCAGGTTGTGGGGGGTGTGAGGCGTAGTATTGTGGGAGGAACCCCACACCCCTGACACGTTGCTAAGGCAGTTGAGTCTTCAGTGTGGAATGGTTTCAGTTGACTCAATCCAGAAATTTTGGCGGGCTCTTGTGAACAAGCCAATGAATGATTCGAATTTTCGTGATTAGCTGAGCGACTGATATTCTCGAGGAAGACACAGCGTCGTTAAATAAGGCAAAACGGCATGTACGTGATAGAATTGTCAAGATAGTTTCTGTGACATGATTTTCACATGTCGGGTTAAGACTTCCCCCTCTTCTAATGCGAGAAAAGGAGACCGTATACCTCCCCCCCCCCAACGTTAGGATATAAAATGGGTATAAATGTCTTGACACATCACTGAGGGAAGCAGAAGCTCTGGCCTAACCATCTTGTTTTATCTTTGCAGCTACTTGCGGTCTTCAATTCCAGTCCTGTTCTACACTACTTCGGTCTGTTGGGCACCACCTGAGGGCAATCATATGTGAGTTCCCGAGCACAGTTTTATCCATTCATGTGGTTTAGTTTACAACCCTGCTGGTATCTCAGCATATGACCTCGAATGGTAGGATGGTTGGTGAATAATGAATTGGAAGGGAACTTGAAGTGGTCATGACCTAATGTAGGTACTATACCTGCAGCTGCCTCTATGGACTGAGGAAAGTCACTAACAATCCAAATCAGAATAGCCAGCGCCCAGCCGAGATTCAAGGCGAGGGCTTCCCAAATACAAGTCTGAAGCGCGTTACCGTTTGAGCCAGAGTGCTCGGTTGCAGGTAAATATTTAACAGCATTTCGGAAGAACTTGCATTAGGTTCCTCCCAAGTGTTAGTATTCGTGAGCTATAGCATAGGGTATCACTGCACTGTACACACTACTTTCATAGTCACTATCATGAGAACCTCAAAAGTTTAAGGTTTCTAACTTTCTTACCTGACGCCTAATTCAGTTCTGTTTTTCTTGTCTTTCAGTTGCTCATCTAAATTGATCACAGTGTACATAATCTCACTTGTTTTGATTCCTGTTGTGCAGGTAATGCTGTCTTCAGCAAGTGCTGGGAAACTAGTGGAAACTGTGAAGAGGGTTTGGCTTCCAACAGCAAGGATGAATAGACAGTCATTGTCCTGATATCAGTTACCACTGATTTTTGGTGTAGTGAGCTGCATTTATTATTCTTTGTGGGGAAGGTTATAGATATTTTTGTAACATATATGACGGGGCACCTTCGTGCAAGAACTAGCTATGGCACATAGCGGTGTGCAGCAAGACCATCACTGTAAAGACTGTGGACTGTACTTTGATAGTATCAAGTCTCTGGATGTTCACCTACACTACCACAAAGAAAACCTGCTCATAAAGTGGGCGACCCAGCCAGATGAGACTAATAATAACAACGCGTCTTCCAATAAACAAAGGGGTGGAGTAACAACAGCTCCTGCAGATTCTAGCAATGGCATGATCAAGTCGGAGCCAGGTCACCCATCAGGTGGTGGCAGTCCGCAATCCAACTCTTTCAACCATCCCCCAACACCCAGCAGCTATAGTAGTGCTCCATCTCCTTTCCAAGATTCTTCAGTGCAGAGATTCTCTCCAATGGCTTCATCGGGTTATAAAGTTGGTGAAAGCACTCTGCCTCAGCAACAAAACGGGGCATTGCGTTCATTCCAACAATATGGCAACTTCCTGCCTCCCAATCCAGAGGGCAGTGGATATTTCATGGAAGGCAATGGTAATTCAGGGTACATTTTAGGCTCAGGTATAGATTTTCCAGCTTCTTCCAATATGGACAATCTCCAATCATCGCCACCAAATTCAATGTCTTCACCGTCTCCATCATCATCCATTGGCCCTGTTACATCAACCAGCATTCGTTATCATCCATACCAACGACCGGCATCAGGGAGCCAACTTTATATACCTGATCGTAACAATAGTGTAACTTCATCTGGACCGTCACCATCATACCAACCACCCCCAACACCCCACCAATGTGACAAGTGTGGTTATGTGTGCAACAGCAGTTCGGCTCTGTCAGATCACATCAACACTGCGCATCCTCCTGCACCATCACCATCATTCATGAACAACCAGCTGCAATTCCAACAAGAGATCATGTTCCGGAATTATGGCAACAATGGAAGTCCGGATGTTGTAGGGGGCCATCAGGCTGTTGGAGAAACCAAAGATGAAACAGCAGCAGAAATTTTGGACCTAGATTCGCACAAGGTACATCATGTGTATCAACCTGAAGAAGAGGCCACAGCAATAAGAACTGCAGCAGGCAGTGAAGGCTCCAACAGGGGTGGCAACCCTCACTCAGTGTCTGCCATGCTTTGGGGCAGTGCACCACAAAACAGTGCCAACTCCCATGTCATGTCTTCCACTACACCATCAGACTTCCGTGGTGTGACTTCTCCAGAGGGGGTGACATCTCAACAGCAGTCCATGACATATCAGAAGGTGGGTCTATACCCTCAGCACCTGGTTACTGTTCCTGGGCAAGTAATGCATCAACACTTGCATCATACGATGACATCAGTTCCTAACATCTCATCTAGTCTTCCCCCTCCAGTTCCAATGTCCTCTGCATCTCCTCACCAAAACAAGAATGGACCACCCATACAACAGACTTCACAGCAACCTGGTAATCAGACTTGGAAGTCAAACGAGGCACGGAGACCTAAGACATACAACTGTTCTGCTTGTAATAAATGGTTCACTAGCTCAGGTCATCTCAAAAGGCATTACAACACAACATTACATAAGAATGCTGTTAAACAGAGTGGAGCACCTGACCCAGCCACACAGCCCATCAGCAACCATCACCATCCTGGACGTGCAGCCACAGATGTTGCAACCAGTTCCAGGGGAACGCCATCAGGAGAATCACATGTGGCACAGCAGAGCCCTGTGCCAGCTGGTTTAGGGCCCCAAATTGTAGCTGTGGTTGAAGACTCTTCCAGGAGTGAAGATGCTAGCAGCAATGGCACATTTGGAAGAATTACACCATCAGTGCAACATGGGAATCTACTGCCAACTGGAAATCAACAGCATGCAGTGAGTCCCCCAAACCTGATGGCAGGTCCCTCAATAACAATGGAGGCACAAACGGGGGGCCTGCGGTTCTTAACCTCCAATTACAGCAGCGAGAACAACCTTCTTCACAACCTTTCCAGTTCCGTCCATACATCTCCAGCACCAGCCCCCCAAATGCCACTGGAGGCACACTTACACCAATTAGGAGCCCCACAAGTACTTTCTTCCCAGCACCCTTACATGTTGGGCCAAGTGGTTTCACCACAACCCCCATCATCACATCCTCACCTTATCCACCACCCCATACCACAACACCAGTCTCTTCTTCATTCTCAGCCCCCTACACCTACACTCCAGATGGCAAGTCTGACAGAGATGTATTCCCCAAACGGGCAGCCCCCCCACATTTCTATACTCCAAGAACAGCAACCAACGCTGCCAACTTCTATCAACAACCACATCACAACTACTACTGGTAATTGTGGCAGCAGTGGTGGTACCGTGTCCCCGCTCAATCTACAAGATGAGCAACAATTCCTGTTTCCCATAACATCTCCTCAGCAGGATAATCAGCCATTGCCTAGCTTTGCTCAAATTGGACTTCGTCCCTTTGGAGCAAACTCACTCTCTGGCTTAAGTGGAATGACAGCAGCCACTTTTTCACTGAGTTACAGCACAGTAAACACGGGATCAACCACAACTATGATCGATAATGTGGGGGGGCTCTTGAACAATGACCACCAGCACTTGCTGGCAACAATGAAGCAGAATGATGCCTACAACAATAACTCATACTGGGTAAACAACTTTGAAGATCAGAATAGTCTTCTGGATGACACTAACAGCAACACACTTCAGGTAGATTCCAACGGAAGTGTAGGTGATGAAAACGTGTCATCGAATCTTTCACCAGCCAGAACACCAGACTGTCATTCATCTAACATTAATAAACCACTCCAGATGATGCAATGTGCCACAGATCTCAAACGTGAAGATGACATCACCAGTACGGGCACTGAAGAAATTACTGCCATGGTTGTTAATAACAATAACATCAACACTACCACTAATAATAACAGCATAAATAACTCCAAGAATGCTGGTTTCAAATCAATGTCAATATCGAGAGGAGATCTTCACAAATGCATAGATTGTGACAAAGTGTTTAACAAAGCATGCTATCTGACGCAGCACAACAAGAGCTTTCACTCAGGACACAAGCCATACAAGTGTGATCGGTGTGGCAAGAGATTCACTGCAGAATTCTTGTACCAGCAGCACTTGGGTAAACATGCAGGTGAGAAGCCATACAAGTGTGAAGCGTGCCCAAAACAGTTCAATCACAAAACAGACCTACGACGTCACATGTGCCTCCACACAGGGCACAAACCCTATGAATGTGAAACATGTGGGAAGGGCTTCATACGTAAAGATCACATGCTGAAGCACTGTGAAACTCACCGCAGGAAAGCTGGTCACCTCCAGCATAACAGCATTCAAGTGTCGGCTCAGTGAATAATGTTTTATATCTTGCGATCGTTAATTTGTGAACTGAAGAAACCAACAATTTTAATGACTAGGAAACGTAATGTTATTAATATTTTTAAACATGTCAAAAGGATTCCAGTTCAACCTATTATTTAAATATCTGTATTGACTATCATTTTATCCAAAATTGATTTGTTTTCATAAATGACTGATGAAAGTTGTCTTTTGGCTGCACAAGAAGCCTGATGTATAAATTGAGTTACAAAGATCAGTTCATAATTTTAGCAGTACCCTTCATTTCTTGTATTAAAGTGACATTGAAGCGAATTCAATCTTGCAGTGATAATGACTCTCCTGTTAAGTCTTACGGTAGGGACATGAAATTGTTTTCAACCTTGTTATGCAGTGTTGGTTTAAATTTAAGTTTGAGAAGGATTGTTGAATGCAATATTAATAATGAGTTTATATTGAGTCATATTTGAATGTTTTGAGAGTTTTATGATGATGGTGATTATCATATCATTCCATTGCACAGTATTTTGGATCACTTGTTTATAAACCAGTATGGATGACATCAGGCCTAATTTAAAATGCAGGCATCCTAAGTTTCCATAATCTAAAGAAGTTGATTTGGTTCAAGTTCCAGTTGAGTGTAATTGTGTGATTACATCTTGTGTGATATTCGTATGTTTAATTTGCTTTGTATATTTATATGACAAAATTTTACACAATGACATGTACAAAGGGTATGTTGAGATTACATACCACTACATATCTGAAGATGCTGCACAATATACAATTTCCCTAATGTTTTCTCGTGTATTTTTATGGCGATTTATTTTGAAGATACTGGTATGACAATGTTATCAGGCGTTAGTGTTGTGTTTCCTTCTCAACATTCTAAACTGTGCCTCAATAAATGAACTCTATTCCATTATCCTGAGGAAACATCTTAAATCTCATATCATGGCAGCCAAACTAATTAATGCTTTTATTATTTTTACAAGACTGATAATGTAAGATATTCCAATAATGGTCATATCCAGGGTTTGAAGTGACATGCAGTTTTCGTTACTGTTGCTATTCTGAATGTAGAATAATCCATTATGTTGGTGTTATCTTGTTAATGTAATGTGACATTACTGCTGATTTGAGATTCTTTACCTAAGGGTTTTTAATATATATTTGTTCTTTACGGGTGTGTAAGATACGCTTGGATGTAACAGAAGTATTATAGTCTTCAGTAGAGAAATATGTCACTCAGAAATACTGGTCTACAAAATTATGATTGTCTCTAATGGAGGTTGACAGAAGATGAATTGTATGCAGACAATTTTTCATCCAATTGTGGCATACATTTCCTCTTCTTCCTGCATAATGGACAATAGTAATGTAAAGTTGAGGCCACTCATGAACAGGCATTTGTAGCTTGCCCATGACTGGTCCAACAATTAAAGCTTCATATTTTCATGATGACCAACAATCCATGCATCATTCCATGACTGATTCAACAACCCAAGCATCTTTCCATGACTGTGCCAACAATCCAGTTATCTTTTTGTAACTGGTCCAACGGTTCAAACATAATCTTAGCATGACTTGTGACTGGTCTAACAATCTAAGCTTCCTCTCTCCATGACTGGGCCAACATTACTGGCACCATCTCATGACTGGTCCCGCATTTCAAGCATATTTTCTTTGTTGGTCCAATAATCCAAGCATATTTTAGTCATCATTCAATCTTTGCTTGATCTTTCCACAACTGACCCCACAGTCCAAGAATATTTTCATGATAAAATCTAAAAATTTGATTAAGGTTATTATCCATGACTGTTCTAAAAGTCCATGTTCATTTTCCATGGCTGGTTAAATAATCCAAGCATCCTTTCACAATGTGCCAAGCAAAAAAGTATTGTATCATAATTTATTATACAAGATAACTATTTTAGTCTCTTTCCAAAAATAACGGGTTTTGCCATTGGTTGATCTTATGTTGGCATTTGTTACAACTACCTCAGCAATAAGTATTAATGTACATATAGTGTCATAGATTAAGATCCAATGTCCATTTGTGTTTTTTTTAGATTATTAAATAAATTTTCATAAAATCAAGGGCATGTTCCATTTATTTCTTGAACACCAATGCATTTTAAGAGTTAATAATCTGCTTTATTGTGTTTTAATTTTTCTTTCAGCTAGTTGATGACATTCGTTAATCTTTAGTGTTAATTTTTGTGTCTTCTTAAAACGTGGATTATTTTTAATAAGCAGTGTTGTGTTGCCAGATAATGTACATAAGCATTCTCAAGTTTAGAACTATAAGGTTTATTTTGGACTCTATCCATCGTCTAGTATATACAAGAAAAAACCACAACGTTTCAGAGACTGGATCTGTCTCCATATTCAGGTAGATGGAGCAAGATAGACCTCAGTTGGGCCTGTTAGAAAGCGCTAGTCTCAATCACTGATTGAGGAGGGAGACAGATCCAGTCTCCGAAACGTTTATTTTTTCTTATATATACCACACGATGGATACAGTCCAAAATCTTATAGTTCCATACAGCATACACCATCGTCTGAATCCTTTAAAGTCTATTTCTCAGGTTTGTTTATGTCCAAAATGAGATTCTGACATTTATAATAATCCTCATTTTCCAAGTCCTACTCTTTTCTAGGAAGGTTACAAGTATTTTTAAGATAGAGGAATGTCCAAACTAAATACAAGGAATTTGGAGGTATGCTAACTGTATATGGAAAGGTGGCAACACAACAATCAAAGCATGAGGAGTAAACAAATGTATTGACATGTGGTTTACCTCCTACTTACTCAAGTAGTACTCCAAACAACACTAGATAACAAGATTTGTAATTGGCGGAAAGCATTTCATGAATTCTTGTCTATTCCATGTATTATAGGAGGAAGTGCTGGTATGATTGAACCTAACTAAACTGCAAGAACAGCCACATGTTGAGTTGAAACAGGAGGGATTGAACTGCTTCAAAATAGATATTAAAATGTTCTGTGTTAGGACGAAATTCTCCACCAGTGAGGACGCTACCAGATTTTCTGAGAAGTAGTGAGTCTGGAACGGGGTCCACTCAGCCTCGTGAAGATAATTGATCTATTTTAAGGAAATAACGGCTCAGGTCTAGAAAACCGAGATTAACGGCCTTGAGGATCCGATGCGCTGACCACACGACACCCTCTATCCGCTAAAGTTGGCACTCACTTCGCCAACAAGCGACGGTCGATCAGTCGGTATAATTTGCTTGCGGACTACAGGCCACAGAGTTGTTTTTTTTAAGTGGGTCACCGCAGCATGGCGTGTCCGTAGGTTGCAGGAGAAGGCGATCGCTTCCAGGTAGGGAGAACAACTGTGAATACTTAGGATAAGTGATTGGTGATAGCCCACAAGGGGTACTTCTCCAGTCTGAGAGTTGGGCGAGAAGCGACAATTCTTCACCGTAGACAAATGACATACTACGAAATATTACACGGGGCTTCAGCGGGTTGTTGTAAACGATGCTGAAAATTCGGGGATCTATGAAATGCAGGGCATTTCTTGTGCAGATGAGTGAGTGTTCTCAAAGATTCTGGTTCATTGCGTTTGCTAGTCAGTAACAACGCCTTACTCTTTACACTCGCTGTACTTCTAATTACACTTGCAGTAGCAGAACAACCGCACTATAGGCAGCAAGACCGAAGAATCGAGGTTTATTCCCGGTAGTGACTACCGATTTTTCTTTTGTCCACTTTACAGACCGCCTCTCGGCCTTACGTGGTCTCCCAATGAACGCCTGTTCAATCTGTCAAGATGTGAAATTGACAACTCATATCCATCTAGGATCGAGGTTAATGCGTGGAGCTGTACCTCCATCCCCACAAGCCCTCATGAGGTACATAATTAAGGCAAATGACCAGAACAACCGATGTTCTGTATGTAGTACTTGAAGATGTGATCTTTCATGGTGTTGTGAGATCACGAATCGTTCGCGGCAGATGGCAGAGATCAACAGGGAGAGCTCTTCGATTATCTCCGTGGGAACAGGGGAACAACCCCCCTACAGTTACGGGGGTAAGAAACTATTCAACTGCATCGGTAAGGAGCTGAGGTTCACGATCCATGTCGCCTTCCATCCACAGTTGGTGCAGCGATACTGTTCCAAGTGGGAAGTCCCAATTTTTCGCGTGATCCCACCCATGCCAATAAACTCCATATATTAGAGTCGTTTTAAGAAGCTAATGGTCACTCATCTCTTTAAGAAATTATCCTTTCTAAAGTGTAACTCTAAGCATAGGCACTTGCAAGGGGGGGGGGAGTAAAGCTATCTTTGTAACAGGCCGTGGAGGCTCATAGGTTTGTGAGACGTCGAGGCTCCAACGTAGGTTCATAGATGGTGAATAGGTTGTCACGCGCCTTTTACCCCCAAGGTAGATTCCTGGTACTTATTTCTGTTAGAGGCTGAGTCGACCCAAGGGCCATAGTGCGGCTGACAGGATTAGGTGAATTGAAAAATCCAATGACATAGGGAATCGAGCACGCGACCTTTCGGCTTGTACAACTACACTACAGCGTGCCCCCGAAACAGCTGTTGATTTTCACATGGCCATACGACGTAACTTCCTGGTAATCCCTGCTGTGAGAACCTCAAATCCGAAATATATCGATTTTCTCTATTTCACTTTATTCTTGATTCTGTTTAACGAAGCTTTTATTGCGCAGGTTATATAGTGTCGAATGACTGTATTATTAGTGAATAATAAGTTGGAACTTATGTGGAAGAAAGTGTTCAAGTGTTGTACCGGCATTTGTATGGAAGACGTGAGAAAAGCTACGACAACTTTCAGTCTGTGCCCTGGCCGAAATTCAAACCGAGTCCACCCGAATGCTGTTCGGAATCATCACTTGAGCGAACCTTTTCGGTAAGATGATTAGTGGTTAATGAATGTTAACGGATGTGGAAGGAAGTGCTTGTGTCCTAATTTATGGTATCATCCCAGAATTTGCCTGGAGGGACTAAGGAAACACTCGAAGAACCTCCTACAGCATTCAGGAAATGCTCAGTACCGATTACAGTTATTAAGGTATTTCTTGGTCGAACTTAGTCCCTCCTAGAAGGTTCCGGGACAGTACGTCATTTAAACCACGTCCGCTTCCTTCCAGATCCTCAACAATTCATTATTCACTAAATCTTCATAGCACTGGACGCTACTGACAATACCGTTATGGGGCCACAATCCCACATAACTCACTTCTGGAGCTGAGCCCTCTTTGAGGAGAAGCCAAATCTGCAGCTACTCAAGAACTTCCCAGCATTTTATGGAACCCAAAGGTTCATTACCGTATTCATAAGAGCCCTCCACTGTTCCCTATCCTGAGCCAGATCAATCCATCCCATCCTGTCTCTCTAAGATCCATTTTAATATTGTCCACCCTTCTATGCATTGGTCTTCCCAGTGGTCTCTTCTGGCTTTCCCACCAATATTCTACATGCCCTGTCCACCTCATCCTCGTTGACTTGATCATTTTAATTATACTTAGAAAAGAGTACATGAAGCTCCTCATGCAGTTTTCTCCAACCTCCTGTCACTTCAACTCTCTTCGGTCCAAATATTCTAAACGCCCTCCCACATGAAATGTCGACTAAGTAGCGAGTTAACAACATGATTTTCAGAGGACGTGATCTGTTCTGTGATGTGCTTCGCAACTTGCATCTGACACGTACAAGATCGCAAAGAACGAATTCGGAAAACATGTTTACTCCAGTTGGAGTGCAGCTTGCCTGCCACTCTTGTGTCTGTTCCCTTCCTCTATATAGCATTACAAGGGGCGGTTTCTCAGGACCAGTTTATCCCCACCCCCCGCTATTATTATCTAGTGGCGGAGCCGTTGCTCGTCTTTTCACGGCCTCTCCCTTTCAGGAGAAGAAAGTAGGTCATTATCATGACTGCAAGGGGATGCTGAGTCTTTTATTTGTTGAGAAGTCTCTCACGCTGCCTCACCGCCTCATTAGCTTCTTCTGTTCAATAGTAACGGGACCTTACTGATCCCTGCCTACTGATACGCTCTTGCTTAAATCTAGAAGAACAACAGACGGTGGAACAGATAATAATTACTCGTCTAGCCCGATATATGGAGCCGGGACACGCAGCTCAGTCGGTATAGCGACTGGCTACAGGCTGGACGGTAGAGGAGTCAGAGTTTGTGTCCCGATATGGGGCAGATTTTTAACTACTCCATTTCATCCAGAAGGTCCTAGGGCTCATCCAGCCTCCTATCAAATGGGTACCGTGCCTTTTTCATCGAGATGTAAACCTACCGGGGCGTGAAGCTAACGACTCAACACTAACTGGAGCCGAGGTCATGAATAAGTGGATTTATACATCCACTCACCCGTATGTCTCCATAGCGTAGTGCTTAATTAGTTAAGCACACAGACAATTTTGCATTTTTTTACATCTAGTCAGATATCACCAAATTCGCCGACAAGCGGCGGTCGCTCAATCAGTATAATTCGCTTGCGGACTAAAACCACGGAGTTTTACTTATTATTATAGTCAGAAATTCCCTGCATTTATGGAATCCGGAGGTTCATCACAGAACGGTCAAAACTCTAATATTACCCTCAACACTAGAGCTAGGTCTCATTGCCATCCGGTTTGCTACGAGTCTAGCCCATCTAATCCGTATTTTAATTACTCTGTTGATATTGTGATATTATGTAAATTTCTATTTCCCTCTTTTGCTGTCTTTCTTTAGTTCCCAGTATTATCCTCTGTTGAGTTTATTGCTTATGCATCATCTAACGTCGTTTCATTAGATAAAATTAAACGAAGACACAGAGATTAATCAATTGGAAAGAACGCTGAAGCAAACGGTGATGCGTAATTTGGGGTACACTTCCGGGACCTCCAGAACACAAACCACTCCATCCCGACGTGCAGTTCACTTATGTACAATACATGTATGTTTATTTATTTAGTCATGTCTCCTGCTCTGGTTAGCTTCCGTGTTTCATAATGCTGCTTCAAGTTAAACGTTCAACTTGTTTCAACGCTGAAGAACCATACATCTAGGAGCATATAATGAAAGTCACAGGAACGCAATAAC